ATATGCCTTGAAGGAATGCTAAAGCATCTCTGGTATGTGCATGTAAGCTTTCATCTCATTTGAGGCAGCACAAAAATTAGATTTTTAGTTTCAGACAAGCTCAAAGGAATTCTTTGATAGTTATTTCTCTCCTGAATGAGCCATAGTCCTTAATCTAGACAAAGAACTTTAATTTAAATAAAGTAATTGTTTTCAATATTTACATTTGCTTTAGATTTATTTTCCAATTTGGATATCATCATTTTGGCAGCACTTCCTAGCCTCATTTATCATGACAATTACTTATTTGAGATTAATCAGTTAATGAAACTGCCATGTAAAAGGCCTTATAGCTGCAAAAGTTTTTAAATCTAAATTTGCAAGCTGTTTCTGAACATTCAGCATTTGCAAGTGAGATCTTAATCTACATCTTCATAGCAGGAAATCTTTTTTTAAAAAAAACAAGCAGCATTACCATTTTACGTTCAAATTCAGGAATCTTTTTTGTAATCTTTATGCACATTTCTAGACAATTACAAAGGGAAGGATTGTACATAAAAATCAAGCAATAAAAGCAGTTCACTGCAGAAAGTGCGCCCTTTCGGTCTGTAAACAAAAAGACAAGAACAAATTCTAATAATATGGGTTATGGGCTTAATGCAATCTATGTTCTATCCCATATCTTATATTGCATTTGCCTTCATGATGATCTAGAATTTAATACCAGCGAGTGAATCTCTTGGGCCTTCCCAACCATAGAATTGGTTAAATAATTATAGACATTCTTTTCATAATATTTTTACTATGATACTTCTCCCAAAAGAAGCCAGAAATAAGATGCCAAGCTCCCAGCTCCATCTTAGTAGAAATGGAATAAAGCAAGAATGTTAGAGGGTCATTAAAAAACAGCTGCTTCTAGAGTTAACTATTTCTACCCTTATTTTCTAACTTGGTGCCCTTCATATATATATACAGTATATATATTGGATCCCAATTCCCATAATTCCTGGCTGGCATAGCTATTAAAATTTAACAAATCAGCAGGTACTAGACAAGCAAAACATACTGTATGTCACAACCACCATCTTTAAATATAAAAGACCACCAAATATTCAGATCTGAAATGTATTACATTCCTGTTTGCCACTGCAGCTTAAACACATTCATGGCATGTTTCACAATAAGTTATTCCACAGTAGACCAATTTTGTTACATTAAATTATGAGCAAACCACAAATCTAATATTGATAATCATCCAGAATTACCTGGTGGTACGATGGAGGAAATCAATAAATTTAATAAAATAACCATTTGGATAATAAGATCATCAATAAGTTATAGAAGTATCACTAAACATCCCATACCTGCAAATTCTAAAAAAGTATCCCTAGGGAAAGATTAATAAAGAAATACTTTTGTGTCCATTCATGTAAGGATGCATTATGAATTGCATTTATTGCAAATTGGCAGTATGAATTAAAGTGTGTCACTCATTTCAAATATTCCACATAGGTTGTTCAGTATCTATATTTCTTGTCCAAGGTAGACTTATTGGATTAAGAATGTGCCAGGTAATAATTGTATGTCCTTCTCCCTCTGCAACTAATATGAGATTTCCTAGCTTCTCTGAATTTTTCTTCAAGTTGAGCTCAACTCCTGATGTCTTCATGGGCACTATGATATCCAAATAGTTAACTGTGGTTTGAGCATTCCCTGAAAATAAGCATTAAGGGATCATAATAATAAGTTGCAATTTAAAAGTGAGGGAATCTCACATTACATTGGAAATATATGGATACCGTGTGCACGCCAGATCTTTAAAAAAGAAACTGGATTAGAAATGGAATGTCTGAATTAGGGTTTAGATCAGTGTTTCTCAACCTTGACAATTTTAAGGCATGTGGACTTCAACTCCCAGAATTCCACAATGCAGCATTGCTGGCTGTGGAATTCTGGGAGTTGAAGTCCACATGCCTTAAAATTGTCAAGGTTGAGAAACACTGTTAGATGCATGTTAAGCAGACAAAAGCAAGATCAACAATTTTAATTAATCAGTTCTGGAAATAACATCAAAAGAGTGGCATCCATTACTTCAAAATATAGATTACAAAACAAACAAACAAACAAACATAGTCCTCCATACCACATCACATTTACAACATTGGCCAGCAACACGAATTCCCAATGGCTACTTTGGGATATTTATATCCTGGTCTATAAGTAATAAGCTTAGGTAATTTGATCATTGATAGATTTAAGAATCAATGATTAATTGGTTACCTTTTTCCACAGAGAGTTGCAAAAATAATAAATCTTCATATTGATGACCATTATGAATATGGATTTTTCAGTAATGGAAGCCTCACGTACAGTTTCTTGCTAGGAAGGCTTATGAAACCTGCTCACTCATCTTCTTTAGAAAGCAGATCAACACNTTTTGTAAACTTAATTGTAAAAAAATATGTTTTCCTGACACACTGTTCACTGTCTTTAAATTCGACTAAATTGATTCATAAACTGCCTTGAAAACCTGCTTAGTATGAAAGTAAACAGAACTTTAAAAAAGCCTATTTCATCTATTTAAAATGCTTAATTGAACCAAGCTTGTCTTTGAAAAAAGATGATGTAATAACAGGAACACATTCTTTGGATGACTCCATATACCACAGAAAAGACAGCTATTGTTTTTTCAAGCTTCAGCTATGACTGTGTTATAGCTGTATATAGTAGAAGCTTCTGATTTGGATATAACATTCAATGCAGATTTTGCAGTGCATTATGGGACAACACAGCAGGAAGTCTGGATACCATATGATTTTGAGTTTATTTATACCATGGGAAAAGAAAAAGGCATGCACACCTGCACATTAAAACAAACACACACACAGACACAAAGTCACTACTGGAACTTCTTTCAAAAATACCCAACCATTATATTTACAAAAGTATGTGCATATCCACACACAAATCAACACAAGGAATCTCTTTAAGACACTGTACTGTATTCCCAAAAATTAAATTCAGTCGTATAAAACAAAGTGATTTAAAAGTGTCTTATGACTTAATATACCAAAACATTTTATCTGCTAAGCTCAGTATTCAAAAGAACCACAGACATGCAGATGAATAAATGTACCTATGTACTTCAGAAAAATGCTGAACCACTGAATGGCATCAAAACAACAGTCTTGCTTCAAAGTAACAGAATGCATTAGGATACAGTCGATTTTCCCCTACCCCTAAATTATACTTAGGTAAAATGACTGCATAATCAAATGCACCATACAAGCATGCTGTTCTGAGACATAAAGCTGGCTGAAATGTGTTGCAACATGTCTCAGATTTGTCCATTACAGCTGGTGTCTGGCAGGCTCACACTGTCTAGTCTTGGAAAAATCTTAGCAGTATGCAAAGACCTTGCAGCATGCAAAGAATTTCACACTGATAAAGAACAATACCAAAACAAATTTAAGTCAACCTTAACATTTACATCACAAAACCTTTTAACTGAAGGCCACGTATTTAAATGTAATGTTTCCATAAAATAGAATGTTTCCCACTTTTCCTGAGGATATTCTTCCAAGATCACCTTTCAAAAGAAATCTGAAAGGTGAAATTTGAGCATCTGGAGGGCTGGCTTTTTAAAAGTTCTCTTTCCTCTTCCTCCCCCCCCCCCAATAATCTGTGAGACTGTTCCTTATTTTGTTCCTTAAACACAAACAGATTTTCTGGGGAAGCTATTTCTCCTTTACTTTTCCCTTGAACTGGCACTGTTTCTCCAGAGGACAAACAATTTGGCTAATGGTTTTTAATTTAAAACCAATACTATTTGTGGAACAAAATAAAGGGATAAGCCCTTCCAGCATATATGTGCTATAGCTGTTTTTTTCCCCCTATGATCCAATGTCATACCAAATTGCATGATTCAAGTCTAAGGCTAGAAAGCGGCTCTGTGTCCAAATTGCAAAATAAGGATTAACAAGTTAACATTGTGGATATCCATAAATTTAAGTCTTTTTAGTACTTCCACAGAGGAATTTTAAGACCTGCCTGGGCCTTGAAACTGGGACAGTAAAGGCTTTACGTTTGAAGGAAAAGAATCAAGATACCCTTTCCTGTATCCTTAGGTAGTGTTCTCATGTTCCTCATTCTCCTGAGGCAATCTATTAAAACCTTTTATTTTTGTTTAAGGCAGCCAGCAGCAAAGGTTATGTCGCTGGGAGGGAGAAAGCAACAATCCTCAAAATCAAAATGTACATTTCTGAAGCTTTCCCCTCGATGGCATCTCAGGGAGGAAGTCCAGGCAACATCAAAAGAAGCCACAAGACTTTCAGTGGGAAGGGATGGGGAATTAAAAAGTCAAAAGCAAAACTCTTCTCTCTCCCCGGAGGGGGAAAGCCATCCCTGGCTTTTTCCTCCCGCGCTTCCTCCTCCCACTCTGCTAAACCCTTCCCCGCCCTTAAGAGTCTAAAATCCAATCTAAAAGAGAGGCTGCCTAGGCAAAATCACGCAGTGCTCCAGAGAAAAAGGGGAAAAGCAAAGCCCCATTAAAGTGAGATACAATGCCGGAACATGCCTTTCGTGGGCTGGAGCGAGTCTTCTTTTTCTTTGAAGATTAGGGCCCTTTCTTACAACCGAGTTGGAGGAAAGGCGGGTAGGGTGGGAGCGAGAGCAATAAAGAGATTGATCAACTTTTCTACCCCGAGGGGCTTTGCACCAATTGAGTCGCCATGCTTGAGAGTTTCATCCTGCCGTTTGTTTTCGTGAAGCAGATCTTAGAGCCGTGGCAAAACCTCCCTCTGCCCTAAACTTTTTCGACGCCTCCCCGCTTTCCTTTGCTTGCGGCCCTAGACCGTAGTGGGCACAAAGAGGCCCGTGGCGCGCTGTTTTCTTAACTACAATAGCAGGGCAAATGAGATCATAGAAGCAACAGTAACAAGTACCCAAACAGACAAGGGGTGAAGTCCGAGTCGGAGAAAGACGAGGAAGAAGAGGAAAAAGTTCGCTTTTGGAACACTTACCGATTATACCCCCCACCAGAAAGGCGATGACTTGGAAAATCAGCAAGATCCCGCCAACAATGCAGAGCTTTTTAGTGCTCATGTTCTCGATAATTGCCCCAGCCATTTTTGCAGTGCTTTCTCTCCTACACTCTCTGCGACGGTGGCGGCGGTTGTAAAAGTTAAAGCTGCAAAGGAATGGGAAGGAAGAGGGAACCTCAGCATCGATTGCCCGGGAAAGCCCGGACCTGGCTCCCTTCGTACCGAGAGCTGTGATTGTAGCCGGCCCTCGAGTGCATGTGGCTGCTTTAAAGGAGCAGGAAAGCGAATCACATGATACCCGCCTCCCTCCTCCTCCTCTCTCCCCGAGCTATTCAGCAGCAATTGGTGTCAGTCTCACATAGCAGTGGGGGAAAGCCGGAGAAAGGCTGATTAAATTAACAACTTGAAGAGAGATGGATGGATTCCCATAACTCGAGAAGAACTCGAAATGCGTTTCCCAGGACCTCATTTGGTGAATTCTGGAATGATAGTCACAACACAACATGTTGAAAAGATCTAACATATTTTGGAAAAATAGAAGCAGGAACGATGAAAGCGATGTTTAAAATCCATTTATTTTTAAGGCAGTTGGAGGTGGGAAATACTTTGAAACTTCTCCCCACGATCAACTGCTTTTCATTTCCTTAAAAAAAAAAAAAGAGCTGTGTTTTTTCAGAAGCTTATATTAAGGCAAAAATCATTCCTGCTAACTTTACAATTTAAAAGCCTAAATCAAAATAATATCCACTCATTCACTTAAACAATATATAATTATTTATCTAGTCTCTTATCTGTTATGAATTTGGCTTCAATTGGTAGATCCAGCTTTCCTGGAATTTTACTGTGCACTAAGGCATTTCCAAACTTTCAAATTCTAAACACTAAATATAAGAAATCTAAATGCCTGCGAAGCACTTGCTGGACAATGTCATATCCGGGATAAACGAGACAACAAATGCTTGGCTAAAGTCTCAGATTTCAGAGCTGGCATCCTCTGCATCACAACATCTGCCTGTCTCTATTAAAAAAAACTTATTGTAAGGAGTTGTGGCTTTGGAAAATTCTTGTTCCACTGAAAAAAGATAGGCAATTTTAAAAATATTTTTCACAATGACCTTTGGATAAAAAAATCCGGGGGTCCAGTTTATGTGGGTGGTTCCCTTTATTTCAATGCAAAAATTATTGTTGTTAGAATATTATTGTGATTTGAAGGGCATTGTAACCTAGTTATAATATACAGGTTAATACTATGTTTAGTTTTCATTGCATAAATATTAGATCTATATTCACTTTAGCAAGTGAGTTTTCTTTTGAAATTTTGATCCAATGGGGAACTGGGAATAAGCATCCAACTTTGTCTTTACTGAGTTGTCCCTAATATAATCAGGCCAAAACTATCTTGAGTCCATTCTTGCATTTCATTGCCTTGTCTTACATATTCATCAATGTAATTTCTGGAAACCTAGTTGCATTACAACTAGGATTCAGGAACCTTGTCTAGTTCTCCTGTTTCTCTCTCATCTTGCCACAAAATGCTTGTTCTATGGTCAAGAGAGTAGGCCTTTTTATGGACTCCAAGTAGATTTTGCCCATTCCAGAGCTTTTAATCTGGAAAGGGATATGTCTGATCCCTTCCTTCACGTGGCATGTGTGGGCCTGAGAGGCAAACGTTTTCAGTTGCTCCCCTAAATCTGCCCATCCCTAAATCAAAATGGCTCTTTTTTGTTATCTTTCAGGGAAGAAAACAAAGCTATCTAGACTGTCAGTTGTTAGGGCTGGTATTTATTCAGTTACTATGAGGGCTGGTATTTATCCAGTTACTATGATTTTAAATGGGATAGTTTTATCCTACAATGCTTTAAAAAAAAAATAAAAATAAAAAATATTTGTATACTTTTAATTTTGTGTATATGTGAATCTCCCAGAGTTTATAACTGGATGGCATGTAATTGTTTTGAATTCACTAAAATATTCTTAATACTAAGAATGCAACAATTCCCACCTTTTTAAATATAACTACACTTCTTAAAAACTTAAGTAAAACTGATTTATATATTTAACACAGTTCTAGCACCATGTCATCTAACACTGGTGCCTCTTTACTGTTATACTAAATCTTGCTAAACTAGCTAATTGGCTCTATACTCCATGTGAATAAATTTGACAAACCAGAATTTTTCTTCTGAGTAAACAGTCTCATATATGTTTAGTATAGTAAACTGAATTGATTACTGGGAATGTTATAATGCCAAACACTCAAGAAATTACAAAATCTAACACATAAAGTTTAGGCTTAGTCACTCCTCCCATCCCACCCCACTCCCTACCAACTTTCCTCTTTTGTTCATTTATGAAGCTTCCATTTGGGCAGGAAGCAGTTATGGTAAGAGGAAGGATAACTGGAACCCAGCCCACTATCTAAACATGAATACAAATAGAAGGTGGATGAATCCGGGTACAAAAACTTTCAGTATCCACTTTATGAATTGTTTTTATTTTCCAGTGCTGTATGCGATTTTAATTCCACTGAATTCATAAGGTTTTATTTCAAAAATTGAAAGAATCATATTCATAGCTCCAGGTAAGCATGTTTTTCCACACAAGCAAATCCCACTTAATATAAGAGGACTGATATCCAGGAAAATACGGATAGGCTTGCAACCTTAAAATGTATAGAGACATAATCAAGCAGAATGAATATTAATTTTAACAATTACTATTCTGCTCAAACTACTTCCACTGTATGTAGCAACTATTTTTAAATATAGTCATACTGGGGGCAATATTTCTTCTCAGAGAATCTCTGAATTTTACAGAACCTTTAAAGTAAAATTCCTACATATTTAATTGGGCAATATTGTTAATATAAATTGATTAAAGCTTAACTCTCCAGAAAATTACACTATTTCTTTTGAGGTGATTGCATTAGCTCAACACTTCATAATAAACAAAACAACTGACTTCAGAAATTATACTAAAACAAGATTTTTTAGCTGTAGTTGAATAAAGTATATTGGCAAATGCATACAATGCATTAAGCAAAAAGAGGCCTTATAAAAGGGCTTAATGCATACAACACATGCTAAATCAGTACGAAGCAAACTGCATTGATTTATTTCAAGATTATAGTCCAAATTCAAGAGGATAAAAATTACTAAAGCTAAAAAAATATTCACAAGATTCCCGCTGCAAATGCATTGTAAATTTCTATGTTAAGATTACCAGCTATTCAGGGGGGAAAATGCAGCCAGACCTGCTCTTTCTTGTCTTAGCAACTTACCTCCAAAAGTCAGCAGAAGCTTCTCACAGTAGGAAGATAAGCACAATCTTTTATAAATGTGTTTATTGATGACATAGGACTAAAGGGTGGAAGCTGTCCTGGTTTCGTCTAGATGAATTTTACAGGCACCTTTTCTCATCAGAATTCATGTGTAATAAATAAATACCTACTCCATCTTGTTTGCAAAGGATACTGACTGCTGCTTATTAAACCATCTTTACAACATTTCAAACAAAACAATGATTTTTAAAATGAAAGATGATTTCATCAATGATCTTACATTCAGACACAGAGAAAAAGAAAAAAACATTTATCTGGGCAATGAACTCAGATAACATAATCCAACTACAAAAGTTGGCTATTATTAGGTTACATTTACTGGCTACTTCACATTCAGCAATAGTTCTTGATATATGATATAATGATCTGGGAAACTGTAGGAAATACATATACATTCATATCTTAAAGTTGAAGATCTTTATCTTAGACATTAATAAAAATATTTTTATTCTGCAACAGCCAGCTGAATGGCATTCCCTGGATTTTGTTTATTTTAAAAATACATTAAATGAAAATTAGAATAAAGTATGGGACTTTCACTAGCTAGCAGCCAAGACATGTTCTTCACATACAGTCAGAGGTAATACATTTTTGTAGTGGTCAGATATTAACAAAAGCAACTGCTATAACCAGAACCATACTGCCATTCATTTATAATATTTCCAGAAAGCAACTGAATGGTTGCTAAACCAAACTATTAGCTTGTTGATCTCATCCAGAAACAAATTGTAATTTTATTGTGTACATGTGTTGAAAAAGAAAATCCCACTCGAGTCCAGCTCGGCTACTAGTGACTTCATGATATACCCATGTAATTCTTCTTAATTTGCCACAGCCTTTTTTCAGGATATTTTTAGACTTCCAGTCTAGACTACAACTTTCAGATTTCTTAGTGGTCTCCTGTCAAAGTACTAACTAGGTCTGACTATACTTTCTGAAATCAAGACTGCTTAGGTGCTGCCACATAACTGGGCACCTATATAAAGGCTGGGTATGTTTCAAAAATGGTTCTAAAGACGTATTTTAACATATAGCAAGCATAGCTTTTTTCTGTTACTCATTAAAGCAGTCCTTTTTTTGTCAGTTTTCCATATGAACCACGTCAAAAGTAATGTTTCTGTGACAAGAATCAACTTGCATGGAAGTCTGCAAAAAGAGAACCTGTTTAATAGATAACATTGAGAAACTGCTCATGCAAGGTCAAAAGGATTTATCCTGCATCTGTTCTGCTGCATATGTAAATAGATAGTTCAGCTTTACTGGTAACTTGACTACAGCTTTTTAAAATAATAGTAATAATAATTCATTAAGCTTGTATGATACTGAGGCTTATCTCAGCAATCAAGTATTATGTACACTCATTAATAAGCTGAGAATCTTAGATGCCAAAATACATCTCCAAAATTGATTGGTTTATACCTGAGTGTATATGATTTTTTGCACTGATGTATTTTTAGTACTGGCAGTACTATAGATCTACAAGTAATATTTTCATGCTAGCTTAGTAAATAATTTTCTTCCAATGTTAAAAGAGCCTAAAGGAACTCACTTTGGGAGAGCTGTCTTTCCCAAACAGGCATCATCTACTTGTGCAGGACTTCCAAAATTTCCAAGCAGCAAATGGGATGTTGCTAGCTGGAAAATCTGGGAGTTATAATCAAGTAAATATTAAGGTGAACAGATTAGGAAAGGTTGGCCTAGCTATAGTAAGCCATATACATGAACAGATAGGTCTTGAATTTTAACTTATATAAACTGGGTTTCATTGAGTAGGCCTTACCAAAGTGTTTCACATATCAAGCTAAAGTTCTCAACCTGTGGGTCGGGACCCCATTTGGGGTCGATTGACCATTTCATGGGGGTCGCCAAGCAAGGCTGTCCGCCATTTTTTTTGTCCGCCATTTTTTTTACCTCCCTTGGGCTGGGCCAGCTGGTGGTCGGCCTGCTCCGTCTCTGC